CATCCATTCGGCGGGGAAGGTGTCATGGTGTGGGGCGATATTTGTAGAGAGATCAGAAGACTGATCTGGTGATTATACAGGGAAACCTGAACGCTGTGCAGTACAGAGACCAAGTGTTGCAGCCAGTTGTGCTTCCGTTCTTACAAAACCAACAGCAGGGGACATTGTTTCAACACGACGATGCCAGACCCCATACTGCAAGACTGACTCGGAACTTTCTAAACAAGCAGAACATTGACGTTTTGCCCTGGCCTGCCCACTAACCCGATATGAATCCTATTGAACATTCTTGACAGACAGATTAGAGCACCCCATCAGCCTCCCTTCAACAGACAAGAATTGCAGCAGGCCCTGTGAGACGAGTGGCAACGGATTCCAGTCCACGTCATCAGAAGACTAACGTCGATCACAGCATGCATTGAGGCAACTGGACGCCATACACGCTATTGAAGGCAACTGTGTCGACAATGAACTTGTAGTGTGTCTGACAATTTTTTGGTGACAACTTTTGAAAATGAAATTTCTTACCCCATCATTGTTTACCCTGAGCTTACATTACCTGTGATTGCACAATTTCATTCAAACTGTGGTTGATCAATCATTTGTTACCCCTCCCTAGATTATATTATAATTCAGAACAAAACCTCTTCTTGTTATTTTTTTATCGATTATGGAACTCGACCTTTTCTTTTTTGGCCGCCCAGTTAAGTACATGACTTAACTAACAGTAACAACAGATACATGGTGTGTTTTCCGTTGTGTGGACACGTGGCAGTAGTTAGTTTATGTATCACTGTTGTATCGCAGTATGAGACCGCCTCCGTGGTCTTGTGGTAGAGCGTCCGCCCGGAGAGCGGAAGGTCCGGGGTTCAATCCCCGGCCGCGTCATACAAAAAGACGTTAAAAGATAGTACTTGTTGTTACCCTGTCTGGCGCTCGACATTAAGGGGCTAAAACAAGGACTGGTCGGCTCGGAGTCAGTATACTGTGTCTGAGTGGGGTATTCATGTTAAACTGCGGCATGGTATCTCAGTGAACTAGCACTATAAATCGGCATCAGTCCGGGCTAGTACAAGCAGCGACACACACATATACATGTGCATGCACGTCGCTATATAAGTGCAATAATCTTGGACGCGACGTTAAACCCAATTTCACCTCACCTTACCTATCGCAGTATGAATCACTTGTAACTGAAGCTATACAGTGCAGGGTACAAATCTAATGTAATGTAAGTTCTCTATAACATCAACGATATCTGTCCAGGTCAGATTCGCACAGAATCACCCTCATAACACCCTCGGGTTGTTCCTCAACATACACTCGGCCATCATAAGTCCACGTGGAAGAGATTAGTTGTTTTGCTTTCTCAGGTCAGTTTGAACAGTTTACTTCGATGCTTGGTTAACTCCTCGTTTATATAGACTGAACTTCTATTTTGTCTCAGCATTCTTCTGTTAGAAATTACTTTGTTCCTGTTTCTATAGCTGACGAATTTTATTACGATGATCTGTCGGTTCCTATCCATATTTTTCTTACCAAATCGGTGGCACCTGTCGATGTCTGATGCTGCATGTCAGGTTTTGTCACTGAGGACTCAGGTAGGCCCCTAATTCGTAGAGAGTTTCTTCCACTGCACTGTTCAAGATCATCAGTTCATGTCGAAGATGAATGATTTCTTGCTTTAGCGGTTGTACAATATCTCTGGCTAGGCCTTCGATAAGATCCTTTGCTACACTCTCAAATAACTTGGCAAACTTTTCTTGGAGTTGGGACAACATGAGAGCTCTGCTGAGTTTAGTTGTGAGAATGTCAATGGAAGCATCATTAATAAAGTTAAACATCGTTGATGGATATGAGATATCCTTCCGATTAGCCGACACGTTCCTAGAAAAACTGTCCTGTGAGAGATTTTGATTTTGATCACAGTGTTGTTTCTCAATTACAGGTTCAGTGTCCTCGTGACAGAGAATCACGTATGATCTTGCGATGTACAGCGGGGATGGTATATTAAGGCTTATTTCGCACTTAACTTCGATGTTTGTGACACCATTCTTTGACACCCAGTATCACTGAAGACGCCACGTGAACAGCAGAAACATATGTCCTTGTAAATTAGTGAAAGGTAAAGTGAATATAGCTTCTATGTTTCAAACGTCAACGTCGAAGAAGAACCAGTCTCAATTATCAGACGAAACATATTCTATTGGGCACAAAAGACAAAACAGCCAAGTGTTCGCGAAAAGGGTAAATTAGTAAAAATGTAAGTGGTTTTTTTGTTTCGTTGTAAATACATACATTGAAACACAACCACATTGCATTTGATGTGAACCTTTAGATACTTCCCATCGTGAACTATATTTTAACTTGACTTGGTCCATTAAATAATTTATAGATACTGATCATTTTAAACGAATTTCGAAATCATGTTTTGTATCCTAAGTTTTCCAACGTCATGTAAACATTGACATCAACTTTATACAACAAAATAAGTATCTGGCAAATACATGTAATGTATAAACTGATGTTAAATCTGTCCTTAACAAAACAACTCGGTGATCTCCATAATGGTAAGCCTGAAGTTATGCTCAATGGCATCTATCTTGTATTCATTTGACATTCTCAGTACACGACCGACTATGCCTCATCAGCACACCATTATTGATCACTCAGTCAAACATGATTGAAGTGTTTTCTTTGACTTGGAGCTCCGAAAACGCAATTTAAAGCAAGGGTTTGTTCTTCCTTATAAGCCGTTCTCTGAGAGACCATCAACTCTAACAACCACGTTCTTGCATACGTACTGGTGTATTGCTTAGGCTACAAATGACCGAACCTAAGGACATGGACACACAACAGTAGAATGCACTTTCCAGGATCTACACTGACTTGATATAGTGACATGGACACACTTCAGTAGAATGCACTTTCCAGGATCTACACTGACTTGATATAGTGACATGGACACCCTTCAGTAGAATGCACTTTCCAGGATCTACACTGACTTGATATAGTGACATGGACACACTTCAGTAGAATGCACTTTCCAGGATCTACACTGACTTGATATAGTGACATGGACACACTACAGTAGAATGCACTTTCCAGGATCTACACTGACTTGATATAGTGACATGGACACCCTTCAGTAGAATGCACTTTCCAGGTTCTACACTGACTTGATATAGTGACATGGACACACAACAGTAGAATGCACTTTCCAGGATCTACACTGACTTGATATAGTGGCATGGACACACTTCAGTAGAAACACTTTCCAGGATCTACACAGACTTGATATAGTGACATGGACACGCTACAGTAGAATGCACTTTCCAGGATCTACACTGACTTGACAAAGTGACATGGACACACTTCAGTAGAATGCACTTTCCAGGATCTACACTGACTTGATATAGTGACAGGGACACGCTACAGTAGAATGCACTTTCCAGGATCTACACTGACTTGATATAGTGGCATTGACACACTTCAGTAGAATGCACTTTCCAGGATCTACACTGACTTGATATAGTGACATGGACACACTACAGTAGAATGCACTTTCCAGGATCTACACTGACTTGAAATAGTGACATGGACACACTTCAGTAGAATGCACTTTCCAGGATCTACACTGACTTGATATAGTGACATGGACACACTACAGTAGAATGCACTTTCCAGGATCTACACTGACTTGATATAGTGACATGGACACACTACAGTAGAATGCACTTTCCAGGATCTACACTGACTTGAAATAGTGACATGGACACACTTCAGTAGAATGCACTTTCCAGGATCTACACTGACTTGATATAGTGACATGGACACACTACAGTAGAATGCACTTTCCAGGATCTACACTGACTTATTATAGTGACATGGACACACTACAGTAGAATGCACTTTCCAGGATCTACACTGACTTGATATAGTGACATGGACACACTTCAGTGGGGTAAGTTACATTAAAAGCATCTTCATTGTAAAGACAGATCATATTGACATAATGCAAATATATAAAAACCAACTGTCCAATGGGTTCTTCGACTGTGCGAGCCTTTTGAATGTTGCACACTAAAGGCCTCATAAGATTAGCCGGGTCTTTGTGGGACATGTAACTTTCCGAACTGGACAGTTGGTAAAGTATGTGAATGGATCTAAGTATCTCTTTTTATACGGGGTTGTATTACGTCAGGAAAGTTTAATGTCAGCATTTTATGTGAACGTGTCTCTTGATTATTGTTATTGACGCAAATGCGTCAGTGCTTCCAAGTTGATCCTTTACACGCCTCTCATATGAATTCAACAGTCCATCCCTGTATTGTTCATTAAGATATTAAGGCATGACAAGACAATTTTATTGAGCTTTGATTTGGAGCTTGAAATAGCAAAACATTCCTATAGTTCTCATCATTATGGTGTGCCTGTGTACAACACATCGACCTGTACAACTAATCCTCATCCTAATTGAACAGTGGTGTAGACTAGTGGTTAACGTGTTGGCTCGTCTGGCCGAGTGTTACCTCATTGATTCTTATGCCCTCAAGGGCAATTGGGTAGACCAGTGGTTAACGAGTTGGTTCGTCTGGCCGAGGGTTACATCAATGATTCTTATGCCATCAAGGGCAGTGGGGTAGACTAGTGGTTTACGTGTTGGCTCGTCTGGCCGAGTGTTACCTCATTGATTCTCATGCCATTAAGGGCAATGGGGTAGACCAGTGGTTAACGTGTTGGTTCGTCTGGCTGAGGGTTACATCATTGATTCTCATCCCATCAAGGGCAATGGGGTAGACTAATGGTTTACGTGTTGGCTCGTCTGGCCGAGTGTTACATCACTGATTCTTATGCCATCAAGGGCAATGGCGCAGACCAGTGGTTCAAGTGTTGGCTCGTCTTGCCGAGTGTTATAACATTGAGTCTCATACCATCAAGGGAAATGGGGCAGACCAGTGACAAGTGTTGGCTCGTCTGACCGATGACCTGGGTTCGACTCGAAGGTCCATCTTTATTATTATTTATTAAATCATCACATTATTATTGAATAACAATTCCCAACAATGTATTTATGCGATTCTTCTCCGTTTACCCGAGCAAAGCCATCCGGTACACGACCGCTGTATGGCAGCATCAAAGTGCACACACCCGTACAACTCTCCAGTGTCGGGATTCAAGGCGCGGCCCTCGATCGTGTAGTCACCCTAGTAACATAGAATAAACGTCGATAAACAAAATGCAGGATTGTGGAACAGACATCGTAGTTTGACACTATTTTAGCAAAGGAGGACATGAGGAGGCGAGGTGGTCACACACACGATAGTTCATTCAGCAGAGACCGCCTCCGTAGTCTTTTGATAGAGCATCCGCCCGGAGAGTGGAAGGTCCGGGGTTCGATCCCCGGCCGCGTCATAAAAGACGTTAAAAGATGGTACTGTTGTTACCCTGTTTGGCTCTCGGCATTAAGGGGCTAAAACAACTGGTCGGCTCGGAGTCAGTATACTGTGTCTAAGTGGGGTGTTCATGTTAAACTGCGGCATGGTATCTCAGTGAGCTTAGCACTATTAATCGGCATCAGTCCGGACTAGGACAAGCAGCCACACACACACGTGCATGCACGTCGCTATATAAGTGCAATAATCTTGGACCCGACGTTAAAGACAATTTCACCTCACCTCACCATAATCCAGCAGAGTCCGTTTTTCGACGCTTTCAGCAATAGTCCAGCAATACCACGGAGATGGGCTAAGAGAAATGACCTTCTTATTCGCCTGTGGGGGAGCAACCAAGTTGAGGTAACTGGTTTTAAACGTGTAAGAGTCCAGGTCCGCGATTGTCTCCTTGGTTGGATATTCCATGGTGATGACCTGAGGTCTGATTATGACGGACTACTTTCCTGATTGTAATTGTTTCTAATGCTTCAGTCGAATTCACCTACGTCTGTGTGGCGAAATGTCGAGAGATTTTAGAGTATTTTCTCTGATCTTATCTTTGCATTTTCAGCATCGCCTTGAAAATCCAGAGATATAATTGAAACCTTTTGTGGAGGGTCACACTACATGTAGGTATGAGCATTAAGCAGTAAGTTTAATGACGTCCCTCGTGACGGTTGGGTGATGTATTAATGCGCCACTGCAATCATGAGAATAGATTAAAGGTGGTGAAATTGGGTTTAACGTCGCGTCCAAGATTATTGCACTTATATAGCGACGTGCATGCACGTGTATGTGTATGTGTGGCTGCTTGTACTAGTCCGGACTGATGCCGATTTATAGTGCTAGCCCACTGAGATACCATGCCGCAGTTTAACATGACTACCCCACTCAGACACAGTATACTGACTCCGAGCCGACCAGTCCTTGTTTTAGCCCCTTAATGCCGAGCGCCAGACAGGGTAACAACAAGTACAATCTTTTAACGTCTTTTTGTATGACGCGGCCCGGGATCGAACTCTGGACCTTCCGCTCTCCGGGCGGACGCTCTACCACAAGACCACGGAGGCGGTCGAGAATAGATTAAATATATATAGATTCGATGCTAAAATGGGGTGAATTTAGGTTGTGTAAGAAAGAAATTGCAGCACACATGCCTTCAGATACCGCGAATCTTATAACTCGATGTTACAAAAACAACTCGTTGTAAAGTAAACGGTATCTGATAGAAACACGTGCGGTAATTAATCACCCAATTAACCCATGTGGGGAGTCGAACCCGGGTCTTTGGCATCGCGCTAACCCATGCATCGCCCTGGTATTTAGTCTCGGTCACAATTCTACCGAGAGTTCCTGACATGAGTCGACATCTTCATGTCAGTGGTAATTGTGTACAGCCTGCCTTTACTCGGACGCATTGCTGACATTCCCCGCTGTGGGTGTTTGATATCCACACTAGGCCACAAGACTACACACTAGCTGTTCTCATTGCACATGACCCCAGCCATCGGATCGGTGTACATTGAAACTGCATTCTCAGCGCCCTGATAAACACATGACAAACTTGCAGTAAGGCTCCCGCGGCATTGCATACACATTACCACCTTACCGGGCAACCATTCACTGCATCTGCTCTCAGCCACCAGCGGTGCTAGTCTTGATCTGTGGAGATGTGTGATAGGCCTCAACCCATATTACTCACATCAACCTCTGGTACTCACATCAGTCCCTGGTACTCAGTCCATCCCACCCCTGCATCTGGTACTCACATCAGCCCATCCCTGCACCCGGTACTCACATCAGCCCCTCCCACCCCTGCACCTGGTACTCATATCAGCCCATCCCATCCCTGCACCTGGTATTCATATCAGCCCATCCCTGCACCCGGTACTCATATCAGCCCATCCCATCCCTGCATCTGGTACTCACATCAGCCCATCCCTGCACCCGGTACTCACATCAGCCCCTCCCATCCCTGCACCTGGTACTCACATCAGCCCCTCCCACCCCTGCACCTGGTACTCACATCAGCCCATCCCACCCCTGCACCTGCACCTGGTACTCATATCAGCCCATCCCACCCCTGCACCTGCACCTGGTACTCACATCAGCCCATCCCACCCCTGCACCTGCACCTGGTACTCATATCAGCCCATCCCACCCCTGCACCTGCACCTGGTATTCATATCAGCCCATCCCATCCCTGCCCCTGGTACTAACATCAGCCCATCCCACCCCTGCACCTGGTATTCATATCAGCCCCTCCCATCCCTGCATCTGGTACTCACATCGGCCCATCCCATCCCTGCATCTGGCACTCACATCAGCCCATCCCACCCCTGCACCTGGTACTCACATCAGCCCCTCCCATCCCTGCATCTGGTACTCACATCGGCCCATCCCATCCCTGCATCTGGCACTCACATCAGCCCATCCCACCCCTGCACCTGGTATTCATATCAGCCCATCCCACCCCTGCACCTGGTACTCATATCAGCCCATCCCATCCCTGCACCTGGTATTCATATCAGCCCATCCCATCCCTGCACCTGGTATTCATATCAGGCCATCCCATCCCTGCACCTGGTATTCATATCAGCCCATCCCACCCCTGCACCTGGTACTCACGTCGGCCCATCCCACCCCTGCACCTGGTACTCACATCAGCCCCTCCCATCCCTGCATCTGGCACTCACATCAGCCCATCCCACCCCTGCATCTGGTACTCACATCGGCCCATCCCACCCCTGCATCTGGTACTCACATCAGCCCAGCCCATCCCTGCATCTGGTACTCACATCGGCCCATCCCACCCCTGCACCTGGCACTCACATCAGCCCATCCCATCCCTGCATCTGGTACTCACATCAGCCAGGATGTCTGCTGCCTTGCCCAGTTCCGGCACTTTGATAGTGAAGGTCTGCACATCCAGATTCTGGACCGCTATCGGACAGGCGATGCTGAAGTTGTTGTCCGACAGCATCTTCTGGACCTGAGATCCGACCGACTGCTGAGCTGCATCACCAGTTGTCATTTTGCCCAGGATTGTACAACCATCATATGTGCTGAAGACAATACACGAAGGATTGTAAATAAACACTTTGAATGAAGTCATATTCAAAGTGACGACTGTCAAACCAAAACTCAGTATGCGTTGGGATTATAACGTCTGAGACTGAGAACGATGAACATATATCAACTGTTTTGCTTGAAACACTCACCTAGACGGGAGACAATCAGAGCGATGAACTCACAAAGACCCGACATTCAAAGGCAATAAATTCACCAAGACCCGACAATTAGAGCCATTAACTCACCAAGACCCGATGTTCTCCGTACAAGGCACCAGTACCGTTGCGACGAATGTATGACGTTTGACGCTCAACTTGAGGCTCCATTTGGGGATGCTTTTGGTGACCTGCGCCTTGACGTGGACGACCAGATCGCCCGGCGTCTTCACAGGCATGGGGGACACCGACAGCTCCAAGATCTTCACAGCCCGGTTGGCATCACTCGCACCTGTCGGATAATCTTACACTGTCAAACTCGAGTCTTCCCTATTTAACTCGAAGCTGTAGGATAATCTTACACGGTCAAACTCAAATCTTCATTATTTAACTCGAAGCTGTCGGATAATCTTACACTGTCAAACACGAGTCTTCCCTATTTAACTCGAAGCTGAATGATAATCTTACACTCTCAAACTCGAATCTTCATTATTTAACTCGAAGCTGTAGGATAATCTTACACTGTCAAACACGAGTCTTCCCTTTTTAACTCGAAGCTGTAGGATAATCTTACACTATCAAACACGAGTCTTCCCTGTGTATTCTCATGTGGGCTAGCAATATAAAAAGTCCGGACCAGTACAAGCAGACACACGCACATTTTATTTCACCTTCAGTGCAGAACTGAAGCTAACGGATAATCTTACACTGATTAATTCGAAGCAGCCGAGTGAATCATTTTACGTCGCATTATATGTTGAGTACATTTATCACTTATTTGTGTTATCTATATATTTGGCCAACGCCACCGTTCCAGCGAAGGTTCATGTCAAGTATACGAAGGTTATAACCTATCTTATCTTGGATCAGCGCGTCCAGTACCGGGCTGAATATATTTCGTAGGTTCACATGTAACAATGCCGAAACCTTCAGGTTCAAATTTCAAACACTTTGAACTTTGAACAGTTTTACGATTTTCAAATCCAAATATACAAGCATACCTGTAAATAACGTTGGTAATTGAGATACATAGTGATGTAATTTTATGACATGTGGATATTTAAGTTATATCGTGGCCTGTCAGACAATTGGGGAGGAAGGCCCCAAGTGGTGCCCGTGGACGTTTTGACATTACTGAAGAATCACACGAGTGCGGCTGTGGTGCTCACACAACAAGAACTATTACCAGACCGAAGGTGAAATTCGAACCCAAGATTATAGGACCTTAGAACGCCTAAGGGACACCTAACGGATTTTCTTATCAAGGTCAGTGGAAACTTTTATCCCCCGCATATTCATTCAACTACTGCTAATCTGATAATCTAAATCAGCACATGTAACAGCTGTAGTGTAAGTGTCAAGACACCAGGGTATATTTGGAGACATTAGCGACAAACGTACCTTGGGTACTGACGCCCTGAAATCCGTAATAAAAATAGGTATGCACATTATTATACAGTATTGCTGATCAGAAATACAAAGACGTGTTAATAAAGTTGTTGATATAATTATAAAATTTAAAAAAATGTTCCTACCACAATCAGACCATGTAAATTGTGTTATTTTGGCGCTGACTGCCAGGACGAGGCATGGAAGGAACACGAGACACTTCATTGTTGCCAGGCACTTGTTCCAATATGTGACGTCCAATGTCAACTGATAGCAGCACCTGCTCGTCTCCGTGACGTCACGCTTGGTTTTCTTTTCGCGACATTTTCAGTGTGCAAATAGACTAAACTATCAACAAAATGTCCAACATCATGTAAGAAAAAAGCAATTTAACATGTGATCCTTATAGTTTGCATCAAAAAAAGATATCGGTGACATTTAAGGTACGTCTTGATGTTCACAAGTTTTATGACAAACGACAAGTACATCAATGCACAGCTGCCAATTGACGTCATTGGAAATCCGTTACCACCTGTCTCTCGGTGGGGCTTCCAGCTGTTGACGGTTCTGTAGAGGATGAGGATGCCTCCTTATCTAACGATCCAGGTGATCCCACATTGTTCAATGGGGTATAAGTCTGATAAGCGAGGGGGCACGGGTGATATATATATATATATATATATCCGTCTCTCTCTCTCTCTCTCTCTCTCTCTCTCTCTCTCTCTCTCTCTCTCTCTCTCTCTCTCTCGCCATGGTCAATGCGGTCTATACAATCTAACTACAAATGACGTAGACGCGGGGACCTATAAAATATACTGCTAGGTACCATGATCACCAAGAATCGCAACTGTGACTGTCTTGGACCACCATACAGCCTCATTAAAATCAGATCTGAGTTCTTGCTGCCGCTTAACAAAGATCTGAGGGCATCCCATTACGGGTCACGTCAGGCGGACCTTTCGCGAACTCTAACCGACTAATGGAATTACTGACAAGAAGTCGACATTAGCCAATCAGAAGGCAGCTTTCTCGTGCTTTACGGCACTAATTTCAAATTGGCGACTACGCTTCGAAACTTATTTTGACAAATTCTCGCTTAAAAATTTGAAACCTGAACAAAAGAACATTCTCGAATGGCTAATATATGGTCTAGATTGTATAGATTCAGTCGTTAAGCCCGTAACTATCGTTCGGAATACCCCGTTTTAAGGTTTTCGAGGCCGCATGATGAGATATCACATTCCGACTGTCACTTTCATGATCTGGTAAGCGACGCTCTGATTGGTCGGATGAAAGGTCGTTCTGACGTGACCCCTAATGGGATGTCCTCAGATCTTTGTTCTAGCGGTAGCGAGAACTAAGATCTGGTTTTAATTAGATTGGGCCACCATATGGCCTCTACGTGTCTACAGACTATATATAGCATGTTAAAAGGTCGCGTTGTCGCCTTCCTGAAGTGTCAAAACTAATCAATGCGATTATTTGTGGCATTGTCCTGCTTTGAATACTTATTTTTATTTGTAAGTAAAGGGCAGAAAAAAATGAGACAACGCGACATTTTTCAAGGCAAAAATATGTCGAGTTGTGGCATTGTCGCCTTATCTAAACTGTGTACAAAAGTGGTTAAATGCGCGATCATACGACATATACATCATGTGGCATTCTCCCATTGTCGCCCTCTATAATTAATGGTGCACATATGTAGTAAGTGAATTAATCTAAGCATGTGCACAATGGTTATACTCCTTTTCAAACTCGTGTGGTTTTTTTTTCAGCGCTAAATGTTCCAAAGTACTAATGGGAATAAGGTTTGCTTTTCTCAAAATGAAAAAAATTCTTTGATAGTTTCTTTAGAAATTGTTTCATATATCGTTACTGTCAGTGTCGTTTTATTAAAAAGAGTCACGTACCAGCATACTATGATCGTGGGTCCGAATACCAGCACCATACACTTGCTTCACTTCGGACTTTCCTCCCACAATAAGCAGAATAAAACTGTCAAATACTCACTCTCATATGATATCCCTTTTGACTGAACGACGCTGGGAGAGCTTGGTAAATTAGGAACATATTTCACTATAACGTTTTTCAGATAACACGACCCTTTTAACTCACAGACTTCTGTCAGCACCTTCCTAACGGACGTATGTATGCGCATTTGTAATTAGTGTGCCCACATTATTTCGAATTAAAAGCATGGTTGTTGTTTAACGCCGCACTCAGCAATATCCCAGCTATATGACGGCGGTCTGTAAATAATCGAGTCTCGGCCAGACAATCCAGTAATTAATATTGAAAGACATTTACACAAGGCGAAATTCCAATGTATACAAAATATACAATTTTGTATATATTGTATATAAAAAAATATACAATTTTGTATTTTTGGTATTTCCAAAAATATACAATTTTGTATATATGGATTGATTTTACCTCTGCTTCATTCAGTTTCTTTACACTGCAGACATTAATGCTCACAGTATGTGGTTGCTATTGAAAATATTACTAAGAATACCGGACAGTATTATTGTATGTGACAAGTGTATACTATTGTCATTATGACAACTCTATTTGGAGTGGTATGAAATAATTTGTATTTATTTATGTTGACAGCATTTTACATAATAAAGAAATAGAACACTTGAGCAGACAGTTATATCAATAATATATATAATAAGTGCGCCATCTGTTTACAAATACGAAGATCTATACATACAAGTCGTTCAGAGTAGTTTTAAACAATGAAGGTAAAATAAATATATCATGAATATCGGCAAATATGAATATATACAATTTAATATATATGTTTCTGTTATGTCATGGTATGGTGATTCTAAATCTAAAATGTTGCTTGATATTGTTTTGACAAACAGTTGTATGCACTGTCCAATGTAATACTCCTACGCAAGTATATAAAAAAGGATGTTCGTTTAGTCAATTGACATGCGTTCATTGTAAACAAGGATTAGTGTGACAGGACAACTTAGTTTGTCATCTGGTATAATGCACTTCCTCGATTAGCATAATTAGAACAGAGTTTGTAATTAGTTACATCCGGACTCCAGTTAACCAAGGCAGCCAGCATCAGTGGAGAGTGTGAGCAACTGGAGAAGAGGCGAGCAACTCAATGTGATTTATGAATTTGTGGAATTTTAATAAATAAACGAACGCCTGTCACAAAAATGTAGTTGAACAAAGAACACACAGAATCGCAGATTTTTCTATCGTACATTTGAGGGTGAACGTGAACGAAGCCGTGCAGGGTGCCTTACATCGATTTTACTTCAGAACACACAGTGAGCTCAGGTAAGTTTATTAATGATGATATTTTTATTCATTCGTGCAATAAATATGGCAATCATGAGCGATGACTCTGTATGTGTTCGCAATAGAACATTTGGAAGAAATATAAAATATGACTAACAAGTCTAGTACACAACAAAGCCATTAAAAGTGAATATCAAATAAATTGATTCACAATGTGACAACATCTTATCCAAAATTTGTTTAATGCAACAGGTTTAAAGCATTCAGAATTGTACAATCATTATTATAAAATACAGGATGTTTATAAATGTGTGTCGCTACCGCTCTCATGTTAAATACATAAATGTATAAAAATGTTTTAATATAATTTAAAATTACTATTAGTTTTACATTATAAGTAACATTATGGACCCTAGCATGTCGAGCCAAGAAACTATTGTATATATTATTCACCTTGGAATGTTTGTTTACTGTGTTTGCGGCGGGGTCCAGGCAATTCCCCAAGTGGACAATTCCAAATACTACTGCGTTAAATAGTAATGCCGATTTGGAGAAAATTACCAAGGGATGAAAGCAAGTAAAGTATAATCCAAAGAAAACAGAAACTGTTCAACTTCACGTTAAAGTCAGTCTAAATGCAATACCTAACCGTAAAATGAAAATATTTTTTTCAATGACTTTTGGTTAAATGTTTCAGTCAGATTTATATAGCATTCTGATATTGTCGATATAGTTAAAAAGCCCTGTGATTAATTGCCTTAGAAGTCTTATAATACCTTTCTGGTGTCCCCTGTCGTGAACCATACTCACTCACTCAGTTAAATACTTCCTTTCACATAAATCGTTAGAAGCTATGTACAAGCTTATTGCCCATATCTTTGCTCCCATATTTGGGATAATTGTACCAAAGAATAAGAACCAATCCGAGAAAGTTTACACTGCATTACGGACTATTTGTGGGGGGACAAGGGGTACAAGCCATGAGGAACTTTATTGAGAAACTAACATAGCCAAAAGAAAACACTATTATACAAGATGGAAAACATCTCTTCTGTTAGTGATTACATTTAAAGAAATCGAACCAATTTACAGGCTGCCAGTTGTAGAACAGAATGCTATGCCAAATCATTCTTTCCTGATACCATTAATACTTGGAATAGTCATCTGATATAATGGATTATTAAACTTGGACAATGTTACTAATATCCAGTTAAACCATTATACCAGATTTTGTCACATATCCTTTATCGCCTCGGATTTGGCTGTAGTGATTTAAACTTCCATCGGCTTGAAAGACACGTCTCAGATAAAGCATCATGCATGCTCTTGGGCTAAAGTATACTGCATTATATTTTCACATGGCCTTACTACAATATTTTAAGAAACGAATCGTCTTTCTATTCTAAAGGTTAGAGTTTTAATTCAGTGCTTCATGGGAAACAATCTGTCCATATAGAAATTTTAAATTCAGTCCATATCTACGTTCTGATGGATTTGTACTAAAGTAATAACTTAAGAATTTATTCATATTTTAAGCTACGTATTAAGTATTAAATAGTTAAATAGCTTTTCTTAATAATTGAACACCAGTCCATCAACCGCACTAATTTGTTGACCACTCATTTTTGTTCTATTTTGATGTATATATATGTTATGTTTTATAATTTGTATGTATATGTATAAACCAACACATATCAATATTACTTGATAAATATCATTTTGTTTCTGGAGCAGTTTTTACCAATCCCGATTCATTTACTGAATAAAAATATGTTAAAAGCATGTACAATTTCCCATTCTTAGTAGGACATCTCACAAAATCCCCCTTTTTTGTTGTTGTAAGAATTAATAAGAGGGCGTTTGGTGGCGGACTTTTGGGATATGAGAAATGAATACAGACTGCCATGTTGTCTGAGTGTAGATCTTAACAATCACCGTGTGTGACCATATAGACAGGATATCATTCGGGTTTCTGATTTTGACAATGACTCCATGAGCATACTGAGTATTGTTGCTTGGGGATATCA